CCTCAGTCAAACAGAACAAGTACATAATTCACAGTAAATTAGATAAATTTATTAAGTACTAATGTATGTGACTATAATAAACTGTTTTCCAAGCTTATATATTGAGTTTTGAAGGAATGAAAATTCAAATATTAAGAAAACATGAAAAACAGTGTATTTTCACTATAACTCAGTCAAATCTTGCTCAAATTTAATAATTAAAGTGTCTATTTGAAGCATATTTAAAAAACATGAATTTATATCAAATAATTACTGAATTCTGTACAGAATTGAGTGAGAAATAGCTATTTTTTTGTTTTGTTTACTTTTGTGACAAAAAATGATGAATCATCAAGTGTGACAATACTTATGAAAAAGGCAGTAATTTAGGAATACAATTTGAGGTTGAAAAAATGTTAGTAAGTGTAAGAGAGGATAGAGTAAAATAGTCAGTTTTACACATTTTAACCTTCTCTTAGTAAAGCAGAATAAGTAATCTATTTATAACAAATTAAGTATACAAATTAATTATTAATGTATACAACTAGAATAGACAGTTTTTCAAACTTATATGTTTAGTTTTGGTTTAGAGAAAAAATAAAAATGAATGTTATATAGAAAATCATTATTTTGTACTGTATCTTAGACAATTTTTGCTTAATTTTCTTTATTTTTGTTAGAATATGAAAGAAATTTAAGATTAATAAATTTAGCAACTTAAATCACACAAAATGACTGTGTATTAATTAAGTTATAGTAAATTTTGTATTCTAACATGTTTAGTGTAACAAAACATTATAAAACACATTAGTGCCAGGTATTTTGAAAACAGTAGTAAAGAGAATTTACATTGTTTAAAGAGAAAATACAGAGTAATATTAATAAAGAAAATAAAGGTTTTATTAAATTTTCTTTTATTTTGTTTATAATATAATAAAAAACATACAAGATTAGTAAGTACTAAGTATTTTGAAAATAGTAGTAAGTATTATTACTACCCTTTTTATAAGTATTGTCACACTTGTGTTTTATATACTCTAACACATTTGAGCCAAAACACTAAAAACTTAAGTAAATAGTAAATTTCTCTATTAATTCTGTATGTTTTATACTTAAGTAGTACTTAAAAAAAAGTGCTAGATTGTAAATGTAGATTTATATAGAAATATTTGTAATTTGTTACCTGTGTGTGTTAGAACAGAACAAACAACTTTATAAGACCTTACTCTAAAGAGTTATTTAGACTGATTATAAAATTATTCCTTCTTATACAAGTTATAATAAATTTTTATTCTAGTTTATAAATTAAGTATATATATATAGAACTGTTCTAACAAAGTTTTGTGTTATTTTGTACAGTATTTGTGTAGGAAACATTAGACAATCTTGTTAACTCTTATTCTAGCAAGTTATCTAAACTAATTATAAAATTATTCCTCTTTATACAAGCTATTATATTTTTCCTTCTTAGTCTGTAAATTAGGTTTACATGTCTTATAATACTCTAACTGTTACAGTTCTCTACTCTTATACTTTCAGTTCTAAGAGTCTGTACTCTTCTATACTAGAACTTAGGACTTCTGTCTCTTAGAGATACTATTTATAAACTATATACAGACTGACTCTTACTACTACCCCTCCTTACTTTATCATTCTGTTCCTTTAACTACTCCTTCATTCTTTGTTCATTCTATAGTCTCTTACTCTTTGTTTATCCTTTCATTCTTTATACCTTTATCTTTAACCTTTCTTTCTTTTATTCTTTATAACTTATTATTCTTAGTAGCTTACTATTCCTTAAGTACTTATAGTTTAGTATATATAAATATACAAGATCAGACTAGTCCTATAGTCTTAATCTTGTCTACTCTAGATAGTCCTGTACTCTTAAGCTTACTTTATATACTCTACTCTTATCTTACTCTCTCTCTCTATCTGTTCTACAAGTTCTAACTATGTTCTAGTACTTGTGTTTTATATTTCTATTGTGTAGAATAGTTGTAGCCTAAGTCCTCTTACTAAGTCTTTAGGTCCCCTCTATACTGTTACTAACATTAGATTAAGACTATCTATTACTACTCTACAACTCTCTTACATTTTAGGTATTAGTATGTACTATTGTGTCAATCTCTTTTCTTTGTTCTAACCCTTTTACATTTTTAAATTTTTAACTTTTTAAACCCTTTTAAACTTTTACTACTCTTCTTCTATTTATTACCTCTTTTTAGTTTAGTATTAATTCCTTTATAGTATAAACATAGACTCTTTTATACTAACTACTACTCTTACTGTTTTACTAGATTAGTAGTTATGAGTAGACCTAGCTTAATATGTGTAGATCTTTATCTAAGAGACCTTTACTAACTATATACCCTTAGTCTCCTTAGAACCTATTCTAATTGTTCTAAAAGTTGTAACCTGTTCTAGAAAGAGAGTGTATATAGTCTACTCTTTAGACTTTAATAAGTAGTACTTTAAGGACTTTTAGTACTAAGTTAAACTATACATAGTTACTACTTTAACTAATCTATTCTTAGATCTTAATTGTATCCTATTTGTCCTCTCCTTTATAAAGGAAGGTAACACAGTCACCTAAGCTTAGAACTAGATTAAAGAACATTAGATTAGAAGTCTAATCTAACTTTAGAACAATGAGTCATACTCAGAATTTATAAGACAGTTTTGTACTTCCTTTATTAATCTAAATAAGAAGTATAATGTGTAGAACAAGCTTGTGTCTCTGTAACAGGACAAATGTTCTACTAATACCTTTTTTCAGAAGTTTAATATTCTAGTTTAGAAGGTAGGATTTGTACTTAGGTTTAATAATGTTCTTATTAGAATACTTAAAAAAGCTCTTTACTTAGAACTAGTTAATAAGATTCTTAGAATAATACTAGAATTAATTACTTACTCTAATTAGAAGATGTGTACTATTTTCTTTAACTAAGCTGTAACTTAAATATATTAAGTCTGTATAGAATGTTTACACATGTGTTTAACCTTAACAGTTCTAAGTCCTTAGATTAATCTACTTATAATTTGTAATTAATTTATTCTAATAAACATTAGAGAAGTCTAAAAGTAAGAAGTATACTTTACTTACAGAAAGTTAGAACACTAAATTAAGAACTACTTATAGAAGTAATAGTATATTTGTTAGGTTATTAGAGTAATAATAAGTAACAAGTAGGATTTGTAGTAAGAAGCCTTTTCTACAAATCTAGAAGTTACTTTAGAACTCTTAGACTCTAACTATATA